GCCTACAAGTTGTGTGTCCTATGGATCTACTGCCAACTTTCTGCATTGTGCGTTAGGCGTTCTAATGTCCTTGCGATAGGAGGTTTGGTTGTGGCAAACCACGATCTAATCTGTTCGCAGTAATAGGTTTGGTAGTGCAAACTGTGATGATATCAATACAATACAAATTTACATTTATATACTGCCTTTCACACTGGGAGGACGCCTCAAGGTGCTTGACAGTCCTGTATAGGTATTGATCACTCGATTGGTGATGTCATGACGCTGAAGTGCTGGCCAGCAACTGTGCCTCATTGTAGTGCTGGTTTAGCTTTTATACATCCCAATTTCCATGTTATAACAGTGCTGCCCTGTATTGTGACAGCTGCCTCAATCAACACCTCCTTGGCGCTGTGATGTTTTGCTGAGATATCCCAAGTCGGTGGTTATAGAACAAAGATTGAAAAATACTGTGGTAGTTCTTAATTTATTTACAGCTCCAATTCACAATACGAAAGGGTAGTGGGAAAGAGCAGGGAATTGGAATCAGGGTATGTAACTCCAGTGGCCAAACTAACAGCAGCAGAGGCTTGGTGAGCTGAATGGCTCCTTCTGTTCTGCAACTTTTATCTACCCTCAGTAAAATATTTTTTGCACAATGGTGTAATGCTGTTGAATGCACTGATCCAGAATCACAAAGGAATGGTGAGCCGTCTGCAAAAATACCACGAACAACAAGCAGCTTCAGCAAACAAGGTCACATAGATGGGAGAAACAATGAATTCCAATATCAGTCGCAAGGAACCTTTCCATACTTTGCTATTCACTACACACACACACACAGGACCTTGACGGCACATGGTTTCACTGTGGTTATGTCAAAACTCCTGCTTGTGAATAAGGCACAATGTTGGATGATAGAATATGAAACGTAGAAGGCATACAGATATTGGCAGGTTAACAACAACAACTGGAGTGCTTGAAGATTAATGGAACGTATAGGGCATGTCACTACCCTTAAGTATATGGATGAAAAATAACCACTATTTTTTAAACACATATCTGTAAGTTTTAAAATCTCATCACACGTAGGCATCAAAGTTAAACAGAAATGAATGACTGTTACTTGTTTTAGTTAAGTTACGTGTGCTTATGCTTGTTAGCTAGTCTTACCTGTAGAACTACAATCCTAATTAAATGAAGTTGAGTTGCAGAATCTCTAACTAACCGTGACAGATGTTACGGGCAATTGGTATATCTCTAGATAAAATGTTATGGGAAAATGCCAGTATCCCATGTGCTAGACAAAATGTTCTGTTAATTGTTGATGTACTAGTCCTGTATTGTCAGCCTAGGGCTCCAGTCCAGCCTGATTAAACTATTATCAGGTGGGTGAAGACTTGCGGATCTGCACATATTAGTCTAATGTAAAAAAGGGAACCTTTATAAAAAAGTATAGCTGAGCCACTTCAGTTCAGTCTTTGGTTCAGTCCAAGTTAGCGAGAGCCACTAGATTTTTTGCTCCTCCAAGAAGGCAGAACTTCTACCCAAGGTTTAGTGACTCGAGCCATTCATCTATCGAAGACTGGGAGTCACCAGCAATGTTTAATTCCACTGCTGCTTGACTCCCAGGCTTCAACGGAGTGGTTTGGCCCACTGCTGGCCACACCTTCGACCCCAACAAAGGACCAAATTCCTCATGATTTTATTCTTAAAACTTCTTACTTAAAATATAAGATCGTACAGAATTTTGGAAAGCAGTCCGACCCAGTCTTAATATGGAAGCTGGATTTTTCACAGGACTGATCTATACTTTATGGAAACCATCGCTTTCAGGACAAGAGGGGATAAAGGTTGAAGGCCACCATTGCTACAGAATTTCCTATGGTTGGTGCATAAGCTCCTCTACCTTTCTCTCTTCAGCACAAATGAGGGAAGGACTCTGAAAAGAAGCAGGACAAGTGCAGTACATTTTGATGACAAACATTGAAAGTCATCAGAACATAGCAACCTTTATTGGGGTTTAAAACTAAATATTGGCATGAATCTTTCCCATATCAGCAAGGTCAAGTGAGCACCAACTCAAAAACTGGCATTTAGCACCACTCCTTCAGATAGCTGATACCTTTTATACTACGCTTTTAGAGATGGTTCATTGCCATTTCCATGGTAATGTTGATTCAGTTTCCATGGTAATATTCTGGTTGGGTCGATTTGATTTCAAGCCCCGATTCTGAACCTGCATCCAATGGCTGGTTTCAGTAGTGCACTCATGTTGTCATTCATTGCATTAATCAGGCAAAACTTGCAACTGGTTTCAAAGGTTTAAGTTTAAAAGTTCCTGGATAATTCTTAAAAAGAACAATTTCCAGGTTCAGACTTAATTAAAGATTTTTTCCAAAGTTCAGCACAGTTTCCAATGGTCATTCACCTATAAACTACAATAACAACTTGCATTTATATAACCCTCTTCATGCAGGGTAAGCATCTCTGATGCTTAATCAGTCACAACAACAACAGCTCACATTTATTTAGTGTCTTGAGTGGAAGATAACTGTTAGCTGACACCTCCCCCTACAGTGCACAGCACAAATCTTCACATTCAGCACAGGAAACAGATGGGGGGATGGGGGTAGGATAATGTGCCAGGGACTTCTCTAGTGACCAGGGTACGTACTCTGCAGCAATCTGGAAATATGTATGTACTGTTATCTCCAGAATTGTGACTTTATTTTTCTCGTCACCGCCTTTGGTGTTGTGCGGGAAAGTCTACAGAGCACAACAATGCAAAATCAGAAAAGAACAGTGGTCACCATCACTGGAATCAGTGGGAGACGTGTACACCTTGCTCTCTCCGGCACAATGCTTTCAGAGGAGGGGAGGGAAAATCATCTCAAGTCTCTCTGGATAAAGAGCTGCCACATTCCCATTCCAATGTTACTGTCATTTACAACAGTGACTGTCCTCCAGGGGTGGGGGAGAGGTAAGCGGGGTCAAGGTGACATTTTTGGCAACAGAATTTCGGAATCCAGTCAGCCTGGTTCATTGACAGGATATGGGACATGGAAGGGCAGACCAGTTACTGGGGGCAGAGAATCACCCCCTTTAGCTCCTGTTAACCCTGCAAGGCAAAGCCCTAACAAATAGGTGGTCCTAACTGGACAAGCAGTGGGAAAGCTTACCAGATAGTGCTTTCAATGGCAAGCTTGGTGGTTTTAGCTGGTTAGACTCCAGCAGTACCGCAATACACACTCTGGGGTCCCCAAGCCTTGGCACTGGCCAACCTGCACCTAATACTTTCTGGAATTGGGTAAGCAGGATGCGTTCCTCAGGGAGAGAGTGCGCATTCCATTCCAACGATCTATCTCTGGGATTTCCATGTGAAGGTGGGATGTGTGGAAATTTTAGCTTTGTTTGGATACTCATAAACATGGTGATGGGTTTCAGCATATAGTCATACGGCTAACCAAAAACAATTGACAAGAGTGCTGTAATATAAGCTCGCCATGAAAGCAGAAGTGTCTGTGAGCGGACTGGTGTGTCTGTCGCACGTTTCTAACTCCACTATCCACCAATGTGTATGCCCTCTCTCTGCACTTCATAACTCAAGCTCCCGTCATACCTTCAGGGCACGACAAGTTTGCAGGGCTATGGGGAGACAGCGGAGGAGTGGGATTGAATTGGATAGCTCTTTTCAAAGAGACGGCACAGACACGACGGGCCGAATGGCCTCCTTTTGAGCTGTACAATTCTATGATTCTATGGATGTTAAAGATTCTGTGACACTGTTCAAACAGAGAAAGTGTCCAGTGTTCTCACTGACCATTTCCCATATTAATTATTCATGCACTTCATGGCTGCTTGTGGCACATTGCTGCCTGCAAAATTGCTGCTGCCTTTGCCTACTTGACAGCAATTACCCGGGGGATAATTTAAAATTTTTTGAATTTCTAGCTGCTATATTAATTGCAAGACTATGACTATGTATTACCATACATATCAAATTACAGTATTTTCATATCACCAAATGCTGATATCTGTACTGAACATGTATCCTCACAATTTACCCTAGGGATTATCCGGTCACAGCATACATATCCAGGTAATCTCTCGGGTAAATTGTTAAAGGCAAATCCAAATAAATATAACAGAAAGATGTGGAAGTTTTGATGAGGTACTTTCTGCTCTCTATCCTTGAGGCAAAAGCATGGATCTCAGTAGGTTTGGATGAAGGCCACCGTAGCATTTTTAATCTCAAATCAGAATTCCTACCCTATCGTGTGTCAGCCTGGCTCAGAGTTAGCATTCTCGCCTCCGAGTCCATAGGTTATGGATTCAAGCCCCATGTCGGGACTTGGAATCGCATAGTCTAAGATGCAGTGCTGGGGGAGTGTTGCATTGTTGCAAGTGCAGTCATTCAGATGAGACGTTTAAAAAAAAATGAGATACCGTCTGGCTGCTCAGTGGATGTTAAAGATCTCATGGTACTATTTGAAAAGAGAAGGGGGTTTCTCCCGGTGTCCTGGCTAACAGATTCCCCAAATAACTCAGTCTGTTTCGATGTTTGTGGGACACTGCTGTGCGCAAAACTGACCGCTTGGTTCTGCCCACAAATCAGTCAATCCACTTTACAGTATATTCTGTGAAAAGCTTTGAGACATCTCGACGACGTAATCAAATACAAGGATTTTTATTATTATTATTACCGTCTACTCATTGCAATATCAAGCTCTCTCTTAGACGAGTCCAGGAACTTGGCTAATACCACCTTTCCTAGTGATACTTTCAGCTGTTAATTTCTCTCTGCGTAAAGAAATATTTTCTAGTAAATATTTTCTAAAGTTGCCCTCCCCAACTCAGGACCTGCATCTTCTTGTCGGGCTGCTTTATCAGGCATGTCTGGAATGGTTATTTTCAATTTACTTTCTCCATCTCATTCCGCATCTTTAGCAGAATCCAGAATGAAATAGAACATTACAAAAATTCTTTAGAAATGCAACCAGGACTCGCTCATTTCTTACCAATGTGCTCCTCGCGCTTCTGTATTTCTTCAGTTGTCGGACATGCTTCAGCCTAAGTTTCCCGTTGGAGACTTCGTAACGGAGCAGCCTTTTTATCCGTTGAGTCATCTTCACTTTGGCTTTTATTCGTACTCTGTGGTTTCCAGGACGAAAGTACTGGTAACACTGACTGCATACACCTTCTGTTTTAACTTTTGAATCTGTAAGGAAACGTCTATAAATTAATCTGGCAGACTGCAATGTTGATTAAAATCAATAAAGGAGAATTTTATACTGACCTGCTGCAGAATAGTATTTCCATCTGAAAAGATAAAAATAAGATTACAATTCAAAAGTCAATTAATGTGTTTTTGGACAGAATTACTTGCATGGAGTGGCGTTTCCAGAATTTCATAAAATATTACAAAAAACATACTGTAGATCCAGATTTATTTTGATGCCCAATTCATTACACAAAAGGTTCACTGCCTTAAATGTTCATACAACTGCTAGGGATTGTACTCATCTATTGCATAATATTAAACATAGGTTTTATTTACTGCAAACCTTCTAAGCAAGACTGTAGCAAAAATACCAGTCATAAGGACATAAGAGACTCATGTATAATAATAATGTAATATGATGCTTAATGGGAGAGAAAGTAAACCAGCACAACACGTTAGACTTGCCAAGGCTGCAGGACAAGCACAGGTTCAAGAATGTGAAGGGGAATTTTAGGACCAACCAGACAGAATATCTTAACACATAAGGTAGCTAGCTAACAACCAGGACTGGTAAAACCAAGCCTTCAGCAGGAGAAGATTGCAGATTCAATACACATTCTGTGATGAGTCAGCTGATCTCAGCTGGGGCAGCAGTGAGGATGGGAGAGTAGTCAAAGCAACAATAAAATCAGTCAGCGTTCTCATTCCCTGCTGTTATCTGCTGCAAAGTGTTAGTGTTGGGCATCAGGTGCGGACTGTGATTTGGCTATATTGACAGGCTGCCTTGACCACCTCTTCCAGCCCACAGCTGAACAGTCTCTGGTGATCGAGGTGTACTCCAACAAAGGGAGTCACTCACAGCCTTCAAGAGGAAATTGGCAAAGAAAGAAAATTGCTGCAAGAAGCAAATCTTCCAGCTATTTCTATAACAGCCTTAGCTTTAAAACATTGCTCCCCAAAAGGAATATATTATGTGCAGGTACATATAGCAGAACAACAACAAATTGCATTTATATAGCGCCTCTTACAAAGGGTAGCATCCCAGAAAACCCCATTATAACATTGGTCGACTTATAAGGAGGTGAATCTCGGCTTTATAAAATGGGTCAGTGACAACAACAACAGGATTACATTTGTATAGCGCTGGACAGTGTACAGCATTTCAGACCCGAGCTGGAGTCAGGGGGAGAAGGGAGGGGAAGGGGGGTGACCAATGGCATTGTCGAAGAGGAGGGTTTAGAGGCGGGACTTGAAGGAGGCTAAGGAGGGGGCGAGGCGGAGTGATTGGGGGATGGAGTTCCAGAGGTTGGGGGCAAAGTGGCTAAAGGCTCTCCCGTCAACGGTGGGTTGGGGGACGTGGAGCAGGCAGAGCCGGCTGAGCGGAAGGAACGGGCGGGTTGGTAGGGGGTTAGGAGGTCGCAGAGGTAGGGTGGGGCGAGGCCATGGAGGGATTTGTATGTGAGGACCAGGATCTTGAACTGGATCCTCTGAAGGATAGGGAGCTAATGGAGCCGGGGAGAATGGGGGAGATTGGGTCACAGAGTTTGGTGTGGGAGAGGACATGCAGAGTTCTGGATTATCTGTAGCCTGTGGAGGGAGGAGTAATGTGTTGAGGTAGGAGGAATAGTCTGGAGTTGGCTAAAACTGTGCACTTACAAGAGGTAGCGAGCTTCTGCCGGGCACGTATCTTGCAGCTGAAGAGCTGAATTCAGAAGAAATTGCTGCTTTTTCTTTTCATCATTCATGCTGCAATATCAATCAATAGCAAGAGATTTAAAAAAAAGAAAAAAGATATTAATAAGCATCCAATCATTGGATGCCAGGGTATCAGAAGATTATTCACACAATAAGGATTGAGTATTAACATTAAAATGGAAACTTGGCCTGTGTGGTCCTGGTGTTGGCTTGTCATGAGGAGATGAGGGGAGTTCAAATTCCAGGCTTAGACTTGGAATTCTTCCAACTAAGTAGTGTTCTGCCAGATCCACCCGCACTGTGCGAAAAGGTGAACGACCACTCCCAAGCTGAATCCTGTTTATACGAATAGCTGGAATATTCACTTTTGACAGACCATATAACAACAAGTTGCATTTATATAGCGCCTTTCAAGTCGGGAGGACATGCCAAGATGATGGACAGTCGAAGGTTTGCAGCTGAGCTAGGGGTTGGATTCGGGATCGGTGGAAGCGAAGAGGAGGTGAGGGAAAGGGGCGAGGTGAAGAGACTCTGGAATGGAGTTCAAGAGAGTGGGGCAGATAGGCTGAAGGCCCAATACAAGGAGCGCATTGGAATCTGGAGGCTGAACTGTTTCATTCAGCTAATCAAGTCTGGAGGTGAAGCTAGAAATAAGCTTGGAAGCATGAACAAAAGACAAAAATGCACAAACATTTGAAAAAAATTATATTAAATCATATCCATAAAACAACAATAAAATTACATTTGTATAGTACCTTTCACATCGGGACGATGTCCCAAGGTGCTGGACAATCAGTGATTCAGAACCGAGACGGGGATCCGGGTTGGGGAGGGTGGAGGGCGGGGAGGGGGAGCTCGCTCCCTCCACTCAGCCGGCTCCGGCCTGCTCCACGTCCCCCGCCCCACCATTGGCGGAAAAGCCTTCAGCCACTCTGCCCCCAATCTCTGGCATTCCATCCCCCAATCACTCCGTCTCGCTCCCTCCTTAGCCTCCTTCAAGTCCCGCCTCAAGACCCTCCTCTTCGACCATGCCATTGGCCACCCCCCTTCCCCTCCCCCCCCTTGTCGGCCCTGACCCCAGCTTGTGTCTGAAATGCTGTGCACTGTCCAGCGCCTTGGGACGTCCTCCCGACGTGAAAGGCGCTATACAAATGTAATCTTGTTTTTGTTATTTCAGATTTTCAGTATCTGCACTTTTTCTTTTTAGGTTGTATGTCAGCCTGGCACAGTAGGTAGCATTCTCGCCTCTGAGTGAGAAGGTTGTGGGTTCAAGCTTCACATCAGGGCTTTTGAGTTCCTGACACTTCAATGTAATGATGTCAGAGGTACCATCCTTCAGATGAGGCATTAAACCAATGTCCCATCTCATCTGCCTGTTCAGGTAAGATCCAACAGTACTATTCGAAAACTGAAGGGAGTTTCACCCAATTGCCTAGCTAACAACCCACCTGATAAAATTGGTCATTCATTTCATTTTGGGGGGTCAGCTAGGTGTGAGACACATGCAGAAACCCATCACCACGCTTTAAGAGTATCCAAACCAAACTGAGAGTTCTAATGTAACCCACCTACACTTGGAAATTCCCAAGATATTTATTAGAATGGAACGTGTTCTCTCCCTGGAGGGACGTATCTTGCTTACCTAATTCCGAAAAGTATTGATAACAACAAAATTACACTTGTACAGAGCCTTTCACGTCGGGAGGGCGTCCCAAGGAGGTGCAGGTTGGCAAGAGCCAAGACTTGTGGACCCCCAGAGTTACGTTGAGGTACTGCTGGAGTCTAACCAGCTAGAACTACCCAGCTTGCCATTCAAAGCACCATCTGGCAAGCTTTCCTCTTTCCTGCTGCTTATCCAGCTAGGACCACCCTATCCATTAGGATTTTTTCTTGAACGAGTAAACAGGAACAACCCCTGCCCCTAGTGATCGGTCTGCCGATCCAAGTCTTGCCTATGAGCCAGAAGAGCGGACTACTGCAGACCTACCTCGCTCAGAATCTGGACTACTAAGACCACCACAGAGGGTTAGCCTGAATCTGACATTCTATTGGCAAACGTGTCACAACAACAACAAGATTACATTTGTATAGTGTCTTTCACATCCAGGAGGACATCCCAAGGCGCTGGACAGTCAAGGATTTGGACCCGAGCTGGTGGTTGGGATCAGAAGGATTGGAGGGGAGGGAGGGCAGGGCAAGGAAGATGACACAACAACAACAAAATTACATTTAATAAGAATAATCCTTGCATTTGATATAGCGCTTTTCACGTCGGGAGGACGTCCCAAAGCGCTTCACAAAACACACTGTAAAGTGAATTGACTGTATATTTGTGGGCGAACGCGGCAGCCAATTGCGCACAGCAATGTCCCACAAACAGTCGTAGATTGAAAATGACCAATTTATTATTGTTTTTGTTTTTTTGGAGGGATTATTATTAGGGCTGTGTGTGGAGTAAGGAAACTTGCCCAAGGTTTCGCACTGACCTGCCTGGAACTGAACTCGGGTCTCTCGCTTGCAAAGCGAGTGCTCTAACCACTGAGCTACAGGACTCCACTACATTATAGAGCGCCTTTCACGTCGGGAGGCACAGGAGGGAAGGGAGGGGGCGAGGCGAAGGGACTGTGGGATGGAGTTCCAAAGGCCAGGCCAGCGATGGTGGGTCGTGTGGGGGACACAGAGCAGCCCGGCTCCAAGTCTGTCCAGCTCTTAGACAATCCTGTTTACCTCCCACCAAGGAGCATAGTCACTTTATGACAGAGGGAGAGAGGGCAGGGGGAGGGGACAGCGAGTGGGGGGGGGGGGGGGGGGAGAGGGGGAGGGGACAGCGAGTAGGGGGGGGGGGGGGGGGGGAGAGGACAGTGAGTGGGGGGGGAGAGGGGGAGAGGACAGTGAGTGGGGGGGAGAGGGGCGGAGGGGGAGGTGGAGGGGACAGTGAGTGGGGGGGGAGGGGCGGAGGGAGAGGTGGAGGGACAGTGAGGGGAGGGGGAGAGGGCGGGGGAGGGGCAGTGAGTGGGGGGGAGAGAGGGAGGGGACAGTGAGTGGGGGGGAGAGGGGGAGGACAGTGAGTGGGGGGGAGAGGGGCGGAGGGGAGGTGGAGGGGACAGTGAGTGGGGGGGAGAGGGGCGGGGGAGGGGGAGGGGACAGTGAGTGGGGGGGAGAGGGGCGGGGAGAGGGGGAGGGGACAGTGAGTGGAGGGGAGAGGGGCGGGGAGAGGGGAGGGGACAGTGAGTGGGCAGGGGGAGAGGGGCGGGGGAGGGGCGGGGACAGTGAGTGGGGGGGAGAGGGGCGGAGGGGAGGTGGAGGGGACAGTGAGTGGGGGGAGAGGGGCGGAGGGGGAGGGGAGGGGACAGTGAGTGGGGGGGAGGAGGGGGGGGGGAGAGGGGGGGGACAGTGAGTGGGGGGGGAGAGAGGGAGGGGACAGTGAGTGGGGGGGGAAGAGGGGGACAGTGAGTGGGGGGGAGAGAGGGGGGACAGTGAGGGGGGAGAGAGGGGGGAAGGGGGACAGAGAGAGAGGGGGGACAGAGAGAGGGGACAGAGGGAGGGGGGGAGAGGGGGGACAGAGGGAGGGGGGAGAGGGGGACAGAGGAGGGGAGGGGGACAGAGGGAGGGAGAGGGGGACAGAGGGAGGGAGAGAGGGACAGAGGGAGGGGGGAGAGGGGGACAGAGGGAGGGGAGAGGGGGGGGACAGAGGGAGGGGGAGAGGGGACAGAGGGAGGGGAGAGGGGGACAGAGGGGGGGGAGAGGGGGGACAGAGGAGGGGGAGGGGGGACAGAGGGAGTGGGAGGGGGGACAGAGGAGGGGAGAGGGGAGGACAGAGGGAGGGGGAGGGGGGGACAGAGGGAGGGGAGAGGGGGACAGAGGAGGGGGGGAGGGGGACAGAGGGAGGGGGAGAGGGGGGACAGAGGGAGGGGGAGAGGGGGGGGACAGAGGGGGGAGAGAGGGGGGGACAGAGGGAGGGGGGAGAGGGGGGACAGAGGGAGGGGGGGACAGGGAGTGCGGAAGTGGCTGAAGGACCGGGGCCCCGCCCCCGCCCCGGGTGGCAGGAGGTGATGATGCGGCAGCACGTGGGCAGAGACTCAGCGCCGGGGCTGCGTGTGACACGCGCTCGGTCAGTTGGTCAGTTGGTGGTCGGTCGGTTGGTTACCTGCGGTGGGGGTGGAGATCGCTTTCCAGCCTCAGCCACGTGCGGGAGGTCACAGCGGGTGACACGGAGCTGCCCGTGTGCGCGCGCGCAGCTCCCGCCCCCGCTCTGTGTGTGCTGTAGGCCCCGCCTGCCCGGCCACACGGGGGCGCCCCCGAGCCGCCCCACCGACCGATGTGGTCGGATTGGGCGGGTTCACACGCCCAATTGGGCGGGTTGGTGTGGGGAAGAAAAAATAACAACTGATGTTGTCCCTCTGGTGCTGTGAGTGAAGCTCTGGTGCGAGAACATCAAGGTGGCTGTCACGCCACGAGTTGTCCCGCAAAGGTCCTCCCCTCCACGCTTGAGGCAGATGCTGGCCAGATAGCCGATGAGGAAGGCGCTACCTGGAGTCCGAGTTTGTGAACATGTACGGCCATCCGGTTGCCTGGAATAATAATAATAATAATAATAATAATAATCCTCGCATTTGATATAGCGCTTTGCACGTCGGGAGGACGTCCCAAAGCGCTTCACAGAACACACTGTAAAGTGAATTAACCGTATATTTGTGGGCGAACGCGGCAGCCAATCGCGCACAGCAGTGTCCCCACAAACAGTCGTGGACTGAAAATGACCAATTTATTATTGTTTTTGTTTTTTTGAAGGGATTACTATTAGGGCTGTGTGTGGAGTAAGGAAACTTGCCCAAGGTTTCGCCCTGACCTGCCCGGAATTGAACTCGGGTCTCTCGCTTGCAAAGCGAGTGCTCTAACCACTGAGCTACAGGACTCCACACTGAGCTCCAGGAATCCACCTTGTTTGGCTTGCAGAGAGGCAAGCAGCGGCTGCTGAAACTCCGCACCTCCAATTGGTGGAACCATCACTCAATAGGAAGGGACATTTCCCCGAGCTGCGGACAGGAAGGCGGTGGCAATGACCTCACACATTTCATGCTGAGATGCGTTGCCCACCGGGAAGCTCGCAGGGAGCCCCTTGTGCCCACCATCTGCCTAGTGGAGCCCTGTAGCTCAGTGGTTAGAGCACTCGCCTTGCAAGCGAGACACCTGGGTTCAGTTCCAGGCAGAGGGCGAAACCATGGGCAAGTTTCCTTACTCCACACGTCTAATAATAATCCCTCCAAAAAAAAAATAATAAATTGGTCATTTTCAATCTACGACTGTTTGTGGGACACTGCTGTGCAATTGGCTGCCGGGTTTCGCCCACAAATATATAGTCAATTCACTTTACAGTATATTCTGTAAAGTCTAAAAGACGTGAAAAGCGCTATGTCAAATGCAAGGATTATTATTATTATTATGTTCTGTGAAGTACTTTGAGACATCTCGAAGATGTGATAAGGAGCTATAATCAAAGGCAAGGATTATTATAAAATATTTAAAAATATTATTGAGTTTCCATCAGAAAAAAACAATTAGGACGTTTACATTGATTCATTCATTGAGCGCATTACATGTGTTAGACCTACTGTTTCAAAGTTGAAGATTGTGGCGGGAAGTTACAATGGTAAACAAGGGTAAGCGGTATTGGCTTACAGTGGTAAGAAGGGTAGTTATGTGTTATGTTCTCAACAAACGATGTGTAGAACACTCTTTTATTTCAGCTCACCAGTTACAAAATCAAACAGTCACACCAAAAGTCACACCAAAACCTTGAAGGCTTAGTTGAGGAAGGGCAGGAGGAGGCTCATGTGGAGCATAAACACCGGCATAGATCAGTTGGGCCAAATGGCCTGTTTCTGTGCTGTATATTCTAAGATATTCTTATGTAAAAACTCTCTCTCAGTGCTTCCTGCTTTCTGCTTTTTCTACCTCCTGATCCCCTTCTACTGGTCCTAGACAATTGGTCCTTATTTATTAGTTGCTATCCAACATCTTCTCCTTTTTGGTTTCTTATTATTTTTATTCTTTGCATCTCAGTCTTGTTCAATTAATCTCCTTGTTGGTTTTACTACTCTTCCTGACCTGGTGGTTCTCGATATTTCTGGCATTCTCAGATCTTCCTTCTGCTCTTCTTTTTCTTCCTCTGTCCTTCTTTGGCGTATTTCCCATGATGTCCTCCGATATATTTTTCCTTTATCACTTTTAAGCCAATATGATATTGGGTTTTTATCCTTTTTCCAAATTTCTCCTTTTGTCCAACCTTCTGTTTTTAGGTTTTTCTTCCTGAATCATATTCTCTCTCCTCTTGTAAAAGTTTTCACCTTTCCTGGCTCACTTTGTGGTTTCCCTTCATTTCTATTGTGTTGTACCTGTGGTCTCAATTTTTTATCTTCCAAGGTTAAAAAATCTCTTAACCATCTTGACATCAGTATTTGTGCTGGTGAATGTCCCTCATTGTCTTTCAGCATGTTTCTATAGGCCAGAATTGCCATGTGCTTATCTGCCTTTACGTTGTCTGTCTGCTTCCACATTTTCTTTATTGTCTGTATTTCTCGTTCCACCAGACCATTGCTTTGGTGAAGTTATTTTGTGGTTTATTTCCCACTGCTTGTGAATGTCTTGTACTCCTTGCTTGAAAATTGGGGCCCATTGTCACAAATTATCTCCTTTGGTATGCCTTGCCCGGCAAAGACTTCCTTGGTTTTTTTCCACTATAGTTTCTGATGTTGTTTCATTCAACTCTGTATACTTACTATATTTCAACGTATCGTCTATTATCATTAAGTTATTTTTGCTATTATATTAAAACAAATCAGTTCCTATTTTGGTCCAGACTTTACTTGGTTTCTCATGTCATATCATTGGTTTGTGTCTGCTGGTTTTGATATCTCGCACATTTTTCACATTTTCCAATATAGTCCTCTATCTGCTTAGTTCTGCCCATCCAAAACACTACTTCTCTCACTCTTCTTTTCATTTTTCTATTCCCCAATGTCCTTTGTGTATGTTTTTCAATACTTTATTCTTGAATTCTTTTGGTATACTTATTCTATCTCCTTGATATATGATGGCGTTTGCTGGTATATTTCATTTCTGTATTCCCAGTATGGCCGAACCTCGTCTGGTGCCTGTCTTCTGTTTTTAGACCATCCTCTTTTCAGCATTGTCTGAATTGTTTTACTGATCATATCTCTTTTGTTTGCTTCTCTAATCTCTTTCTCCTGTCTTGTTGCCTTTGCTATTTCCCATACCTGGAATTCCATTTCTTTTTCTCATCCTCTTCATTAACCTTTTGACTGGTAGCTCGACTTAGTGTTCCTGCCACATATAGTGTTTTCCCAGGTTTGTACTGAAATTCAATGCTATATCTCTGTAGCTGTATTCTCATTCTTTGTAGTCTTGGCGGTGTTTTATTAAGCCCTTTTCTCAGAACTCGATCCTCTGGGGGATGGAGAGCAAGTGGAGTCGGGCGAGGGTGGGAGTAATGGGGTCACGGAGCCTGGTGTGTGAGAGTACATGAGCTGCAGAGTTTTGGATGATCTGCAGCTTGTGAAGGGAAGAGTTGGGAAGGCCGATGAGGAGGGAGTTCCCGTAATCGAGCCTTGAGGTGATGAATGTGTGGGTGAGGGTTTTGGCAGCCTGAGGGGTGAGGCAGTGGCGGAGTCTGGCAACGTTGCGGAGGTGGTGGTAGGCAGTGCCGGTCATTGTGCAGATGTGGGGGAGAAAGGACAGTTCAGGGTCAAACAAGACACCCAGGTTCCTGACTGGCTTAGTGAGGTTGAGTGTGTAGCCGTGGAGGCTGATGCTGCCAGCGCCCGAGGTGCGGAGGTGCTGGTGCGAGCCAATCAGGAGCGCCTCGGTCTTGCTGATGTTGAGTTGGAGAAAGTTGGCCCTCATCCAGGACTTGATGTCAGACAGGCAGTCGGTCGGGACGCCAGTAGTCCTGGAGTTGAGGGTGGAGGCAGAGAGATAGAGTTGGGTGTCATCCACATACATGTAGAAATTTACCCCATGTCTGCGGATGATGTCACCAAGGGGGAGCATGTAGAGGGTGAAGAGGAAGAGACCGAGGACAGAGCCCTGAGGAATACTGCACAAGAAAGACGGTGCAGGGGCTGGAGGAGAAGTCGTTTGCTGCGACGAAGTGGAGGCGGTGTGAAAGGTAGCACCTGAGCCAGTCAAGGACAGAACCTTGAAGGTTGAGGTGGGAGGAGAGGTGGTGGAGGAGGACTGAGTGGTCCACGGTGTTAAAGGTGGCAGAGAGGTCGAGGAGGATGAGGAGGCAGAGGGAGCCCTGGTCACACATGGTCAGGATTTCGTGGGGTGTGGTGGGGAAGATAAAAGATAAGCAGGCTTTTCTGATGTTAAATTGATTCTGTGGTAACATGCTTGGCAAAGCCAGGCAGGTTCACAATTATACAAGACAAATTAGAGGTGATTAGGTGTATCTCCAACTCTCTCTAAAAAAAATCAATCTTTGACGAGTAAAAGAACCAGATTCGGAAAGATCTCTTCTTGTTTTGTACATTCAGTGCTCCTGCTCTCTGTTGAACTTAAATATTACTACAGCAATACCTTCTTCTTCCTCTCCACTTTAATTCTAGGTCTTTCCACAGTTCGTGAACGAAGCCAGAACTACAGATATTTAAAATAAAACAAAATAAAATAAAACAATCGTGTACATGAAAGTTGGATAAATGATTCTGTAAAGCGCTTTGAGACGTCTCGAAGACGTGAAAAGCACTATATCAAATGCAATGATTATTATAATATTATTATTACTCATGAGCAGGAGGTAGACAACTCACAGCAAATATTATCTCAGGCAATGGGTATGCCACCATAAACTCCTGAGGTAAGTGAGATACTGCTAAAGTAAGCATCAACCACCAGCACCAGACCGGCCACTGCACAAGCTCCTCATTGCACACTTGATCCAGTGAGTCTGCAATTTTCATACGTATTTAACAATCCCCCATTAATTCAATAATAACAATCTTATATGATACAATGTATCAATTTTCATATGCATCCAACAATCCCCCCACCAATTCACTTACTTCATGGCTGTTTGTAGGACATCGCTGTGCAAAAAACTGGCTGTTGTGTTTGCCTACAAATCCAGTCACTAGTAAAATCCTGTGAAGTGCTTTGAGACATTTCGACAATGTGATAAGATGCTATTAGCAAATGCAAGGATTATTATTATATCTCCAATTCTTGGAACTGCTACC